GACTTCTTCCTCAGAGGGATGCACCGATCTTGAGCCTGGAGGAAGTGATGCTTGAATATGAACCAGCTTTCTTGGACCCCTCTTCCTTCTAGGGCTCTACCCCGTGAGATTCCCCTAAGTAGGTCCCTGAGGAGGCCAAAGTCAGCTCTCCTGAAGTCCAGTGTTGCAATCCTATTCGTTGCCCTGCTCCCTCCTCGTAGGATCCTGAACTCCACCATCTCATGGTCACTGCAGCCAAGGCTGCCCCCAACCTTCACATCTCCAACTAGACCTTCTTTGTTTGTTAGTACAAGGTCTCGCATTGCACCTCTCCTCGTTGGCGTCTCCACCACCTGAGTCAAGAAATTATCATCAATGCTTTGCAGGACCCTCTTTGACTGTTTGTGCCTAGCTGTGCTGTCTTCCCAACAGATGTCAGGGTGAAAGGTCAGGACAACATTTTTATCTCATCTGAACTAAAGCAGTGTTAAGGTCAGGAAAGGGTGACAGTAATGGTTAGTGTTGTGAAATAAATTCTGTATAAAGACAGAGATCTATAAAAAACACAAAATTTAGAAAGGAACACTGCTGTATGCAAATTGGTGATTGCTGGGGCAAAGTATGGCTTTACAACTAAGTATTTCTGTTTATCATTTCTCATATTACAAGAATAAGGAAAACAATGTAAAAGAAGCATACTTAAAGAAAGTATAGTATTGAAATAAGTAGAAGTTGGTGCATCAAAATGACCAGTAGGAAGACTTTACATAATTTCCAAAATAAATTAGAAATAGTAATATTAAATAATAGACCTCATTTTATATTTCAAAAAAAGGAAGCATAGTTTTGCCTCTCACTGCATTATCTAAACATGAAGCGTTAGAAGTAAGAAAAAAAGTCACTTTTGGACAAATAATTGCATAATGTTCTTTTTCATGTTAACTTACTGTTCTTCTGAAAAACGTTCTTCTTCTGACTGTGACCAGCCTGCAGATGATCCAATATGTTATGAGTTACAACAAACCATATTATTTCTATTAAAAAAAACAAACATGCTTTAGTGTTCATCTTCATAAACAGTTGTTTAATTATGGCTTATAATGGCTAGAATCCACTTACTTAGAATATTCAAGGTCATGGATTTCAACTTCAATTGGAATCACAAGATCACTGTAACCTATGTTGAAAGCAGCTATAACAGGAAAAGGAGGCAGCTAGTTAAGTTGTCTGTAGGATTATGCTGCAGACAACTGTAAGGATCTTGGAATTTAAGCATTAGGTGTTTACTTGCCAGCAAAAGGTTTATAAGATGTAAGTTTCATTCTACTTTCTGCTCAATACGGTATTAGGCACTATGCTGACTGAATTACTGTTTCTTATGTGTCTGTTTTCAAATATATGTCTGTATACCCAGCTGGGAGACAGTAGTCAGAATTGTCTGAAAATTAAACATGGCATTATAAATTTACATAAATTGCAAGTTTCTTTTGAAATAAATTCAAGAATATTTCATGGGAACATCATTTGTCCTTCCACTTCAGTCTCAGAAATGGAAATGTTCAGTTACTGATCTTTATTCTCCCGGTTTGTCTTGTTTGGAGCCCATAGCTTTCACGTTCTAAATAAGTCTGTAGCTTTGATTACTTTTTCTATTGTCTTTATTCCCTTCTATGAGGTTAGTCAGTTGCCATTAGTTGCTGTGTTCTGACGATTTGGGAATTTACAGAGGGGGAATACTAGTTCATTTAGGTTATAGATAATCTTTCACTGACTTGGTAATTCTTTGAATACATACTGCAGTGTATTTTGTCTGAACAAGACTAACAATTTTTTTTATTAATCTTGCTCGGGTATTTTAGCAATTCTAGATCAGTTCACCTTTCAATAAAGAGAACATATGACAGGATCCCTTTTCTGTGGACTCTGGAGGACATATAGCACCTACAATAGAAAGAATTTTTTGCTGTTGTACAAAATACAAGATATTGCTTTATGGTGGTGGTTGGCTTCAGAAAAGTTCATTTATTTTTCTGTCTGTATGGACTGGAGACAGACAACTAGAATCTAAGCCATCCATGCAATAAAGGAGCTGAAAATGTCACCTCAGCAAAATGTACTGCTGCTACTTGTGTGCAATGGAATGAGGTAGACCTATGGAAAACAGGTTATGGATTTTCCATACTACAAATAACAGAGTCCTGTAAAGCATCCCTCATTTAAACTACACAAAATATGAGCTATGCACTGGGTTGTGACTAAAATCTGAATGTGGCACTTAATGTGCATAGGTCCTTGAAATCTATCTTGACTGTGACATAAAGTGATTATGGTTTCAAAGGGTAATTTTCTCAAAGATAACACAAAAATTTAGTTGACAGGGTTTCCATGACATGAAATCGTAGAAGGAGTTAAGGAATCCAGCTGACTTCATGTTTTCTAGGTTGTTTGATTACCATGGTCGTGTCCCCCCACCACCCCGTGCAGTGATACCACTGAAGCGTCCTCGTGTGGCTGTGACAACAACTCGCAGAGGCAAAGGGATTTTTTCCATGAAAGGAGCATCACGATCCACATCAAGTGGGGCTTCTTCCTCGGGATCCAAATGTGAGTTGCTCATATCACTCATTGGGTTTTGTTGAAACAGTGATCCTGGTAACTTCCTCAAGAAGCAGGTAGTTTAAATTATAGCTCTGTTGTAGTCATTTCCTACCATCAGTCTTTAGCTGGAAAAACTGATTTGGTTACAAAAGCTGCCATACTTTCCTTGCAACTCAAAGAGCATCTTGATGCAACTTTTAAAGGTAATCCATTCAACATTTGACTACACATCCCTCCCTCGGCCTCAGAAGAAGTCTATTTAAACTCTCCTAGCACCCTGATTTCTTATGCGCAATGAGGTCTTGTGAATGAGTGATAACAAATCAAAGCTAATGATCTAACTACAGAAAAGCTAAGGTGTACTAATTTCAGTGGAAACTTGAGGATCGTTTTTACTCTTACGTGGTTTTGCTTGTCTCTTTGTTTGTTTGTTTGTTTTTTTGTTGGGGGAGGGAGTTGTGTGTATTTTTCTACCAGTGACTCCTTTGAAGACAGAAAGAGGCACACTGCCTTTGCAAGTTCTAAGGGCGATGAAAACAAAACAGGAGACTTGAAGATTATTCAACCCTTAGCGAATTGCCCTTAGAATAGCTGCTGAACAACAGATCTTCCCTTCCCTATGTTCACCAACCTCCTTACCCCATAATATCTCCCAGAAACTTCATCCTCCTCTCCATGTGTATTTCAGCACCCATATGTCTTCCTCTGCCCCTTATGTGCAGTGATACTGTCCTTGGAAGCGTCTCTGGAAGAGGAAGGGAAAGATTAGGTAGGGATCAGATATCAGAGAGAAAGAAGTGACTGTGAAAAGACACTTGCAGTACTAGACAGCTCAGCAAAGCACCTTGTGCTCTTACCCACAAGACACATAAGGGACTCCATTAACAGTACACCTAACTGGAAAAGGGGCTAAATATGTCATAAGACAATTATATACTCTGCTTGAACAAGTTGTCCAAGTCTCATACACTAGCATACAACAAAGATGAATCTCTAGTGAGTCCACTAGGATTCATATTATATTATGTGATGGTATCCAAGGACTTGAAAGAAAAGTTGTAATGAATGTATAAGTGACAAAAAAAATGGAAGTATGATAAGCAGTACAAGAGATAGCATCGTACTTTGAGGAACAAAGAATTCGGGTGATTCCTCGAAAGCGATTTGTTTTGGGAAACAATCACTCTTAGAGAGCTTGGGATTAAGACTGGAAAGCTATTTGAACGTTAACTCATAATGTAGCAGAATAACATAGAATTTATGGATATAAAGCTAAGGGTACGTTGAGGAAAAATTGTTTCCTCTGTATGTCATCCTGCTTCTGGAGAGCTGTGTCCAGGTCTGCTGTCCACAAAGAACAAAGGATGTTGAGACAAACTGAAGATATCTCAGAGAAAAACTTCAGGACAACTGATAAAACACTGATCTTCTGTTAGGTCTGGTTCAACTTCCTTGATCTTCAAACCATACTACAAATCTTTCTGTGGCCAATAGTGAGTGACATGACTAACATAACATACCTTACAGGAAGGGTATGGAGGGGAAGTTCTAGAACTATTTCTTGGATGGGTAGCATGAGCTCCCCTTTCTTTCACTGAGATACTAGGCATGGCTGGACTGGGCATGATGCTATAACGTGAGGTAACTGGTGGTACCATCTTACTGTTATATGACTTTCATTCATAACCATATGTATGACTTTTGGCCAACATAGCCTTTCCACGCTTTACAAACAGGTGCAGGCAAACTGTAGGATTCCCTGCTGTTGTGTCATTTTCATTGGGCTTGCAAGCTGCATCCAGCTCTAGTCAAAGATTAACAACTTCTGCCTTAAAGTGAGGTTTTGTATAGGTTCATTATGTTTAGCTCATTGAAGGAAAGGCCAAATAAAACTTCTTAGTCTTAAAATAAACTAAAACCATTACCAAGGGCTCTTTCTTCTTGTGAAGATCCAATGGCTGAATTCTGAAGTTTGTCACCTTCAGACTAACTTGCTAGGTGGCCATTAGAACTACTTAACAAAAGTATTGAGATGGTGTTTTGGTGACTGTATGTGCACTACATGTCTAAACTCCTATTAGCCAGAGGAGTTCTAGCCAACTTAGCCATTGAAGCCAAGGAGATGATTCAGCTCATGCTAAGGGAAGAACCTGTTGACTGGACAGTTGAATCACACTCCAGTGTAATTTGAGGCTCCACACACTTGATTTCCATTAACAAGAATGGCAGTTTTGATACCTAGCATACAAGAAATCATATAAATTTAGCGTCATATTAAAAAGCTGACTCACATTCTAAGTGCATGTCTTGGAGTAGCATGTGTCTAGATCATTTTCATACACATCTTGAACAAATTTGCTTGTCCGTAGCCACTCTTTTTCTTCCTTTAGTACTTTACATAATGAATTAAGGTTCTTAGTATTGATTTAAAAGAAACCATATGTCTCAAGACGTTCATTTTAGTAGACTTAGAATTTAAATTACTTTGCTAGTCTTTTCCAGTCCTTGAGTCTTTGACTTCTCCCATAGTGAATCAAAACTTTAGTAAATATGTAGGGTTGTAGACTCAATCAGATGATCTCCGTTAGTTCTTTATTTACTGTTGTCTTATCCATATGAAAAGGTAGTAGTATTGCTGCATTCAATTCACTGCTTCTCCTACAAGCTGGTCTAAGAAGTCTTTGCTTTTTGGACTCACTCTGCCTTGAGAAGAGAAACTATTTTAGATGAGTTTCTATTTGTTTATATTTCTCATCCAGCATAAGTTAGAGCTAAAGGGAGCAGAGGAATTTAGCATAGTTGTCAAGGAACTCCCTCAGACAGAAATCTGGATTTCATTGTGGGGAATGGGAGCATATCTGCTCCTCAGAATAGTCACCACATTTACTTTATTACATATTCTTAATTTCAGAAAATGCTTTGTAATACCATGGCAAGAATTAAGTAGTGCATAGTGTAGATAACAGAAATCAGCCCAAGTTTGAGGACCCATAGCCACACGCTATGAGATCTCCAATTGCATTGCCTGAATAACATGGAAATGTTGCAGAACATGTAAATTATTTAATAGAATAGCAATCATGAGAGATCCTAATATAGAATGTTATGCCTTGGTTTACAGAATCGCAGAATCACAGAATGGTTGAGGTTGGAAGGGACCTCTGGAGATCATCTAGTTCAACCTCCCTGCTCAAGCAGGGTCCTCTAGAACATATTTCCTGGGATCACATCCAGATGGGCTCTGAATATCTCCAGCGAAGGAGACTCCACAGCCTCTCTGGGCAACCTGTGTCAGTGCTCTGTCACCCTCACAGTCAAGAAGTTTTTTCTCAGGTTCAGATGGAACTTCCTGTGGTTCAGTTTCTGCCCGTTGCCTCTTGTCCT